CCATAATAGAGGCACACCAGGTCACCTTGCTGTAAGTGTAAGTCCTGAAATTCCTTTTGAAGACGACCTGTCTAGCTTGTCCCTGTTCCTGGATGATAACACCTTGCCTATGCCGAAGCCCTCCCTAGCAAATTAAGGAGGGTTCGCTTTGCGACCTGTTCAACTAAGAGGTGCAGTGGCTCGAGTTCCAGCATTACCTCCAGCGCTGCCGTCGGGCATGTGCGCATTGCTCCTGTAATGCAAACACATGCCAGGCGTTGAAGCTTAGAGAGGGTCTGCCTCACCGTTAATAAAGTAGTCCTGGAATACCAAGCCACCGCACCGTAAGTCACTATAGGTCTCACTATCATGGTGTACATCCATCTGAGGATCCTCGGAGTGCACCCCCAGGATTTTCCCGCCAGACGTTTGCACACCATCATCGCTCTCGTGGCCTTGGAGGTGATCGCATCAACATGAGCCTTCCACAGAAGCTTGAAGTCCAGGGTAAGCCCCAGATACTTAACCTCTGTGGCGATATTGATTGCGACCCCGTGCAAGGTTAGGTTCCTCATTCCCTGGAATGCAGAGGGGCTTGTTTCAGAGTGTTAAACCTGATCTCATGATCAATAATTTTCTCCATTGCCTTTAACATAAAGGATGTGAGACTTATCGGCCTGAATGACTTGGCAAGAGAGTAATCTCTCTTACCTACCTTCGGGATAAAGATGACCCTGGCCCTTTGCCACACCTTGGGAATGTGGGCCAGCGTTAGACTGTCCCTCATACCATCCACCAGATGTGGAAGTAAGAGCTCTCCTCCCTGCTTCAGCAACATTGGACATTTACCATCCACCCCAGGGGCCTTGTACCGTTCGAAGGAGTCCAAAGCCCACCGCACTGTTTGCCGGTTTAAAAGGCTTTTAGCTAGCTTCCAGTCCGGTGGGGATGGCCTGTACGCACGGAACACAGCTTCCTCAGCGGTGGAAATGGCGTCCGGGAAGTGGGCCGACAGCAGGGCGAGTGCCCTTTCCTATTCTGTACCTAAAAAAGTCCCATTAGGTAGCCTTATAGCCAATCTGGTGCCTGTGTTGTCCCTTGCCAAAGCTTTATGAAGCCTAGCAGCTGCAGGAGTGGATGCGATGTTTTCACAAAAGGTCTTGAAACTGCTACGCTTGTCCTTTCTAATCTACTCATTGTACTTTGTCAGACTGACTGAGTATGCCTCCCAGTTCCCGGTGCGCTTTTCCCTGTTAAACAGTCTGCGCACCTCTTTCCTAAGAACCGAGAGTTCCCGTGACCACCAGGGAGGCTGAGCCTTCCCCTTAGGCTTTGACATGGGACAGCTGGACGTAAAGGCATCTAAGATTGTGCCGTTCAGCCTATTAACCCTGTCTTCCCAGCGCCATACAATCTACCTTTCTAACCTGTACCTCTATTCTTGGTAGGTTCAGTCCAAGAACCTCTTCATATTTGGCCCAGTTTGTTTTCCTGGGGTTTCTCTTCGGGTAACCTGTGTGACAAGCAGCTCCCAGTGCAAACCGGACAAGCCTGTGATCCGACAGCGAAGGCTCAGATGAGACTCTCCACTAGACGATCAAAGGGCTGGCCAGTCTGTTGCTGATAGTGATGTCAAGAGCTTCTACTCTGACCCTAGTAATGAACGTTGGTTCATTACCGACATTGTGAATGCTCAGGTCTTCACTTATAATATATTCTAAAAGGCAGGGGTGAGCGGTTAGTGTCCGAACTGCCCCACTCCATAATGTGGGCGTTTGCATCGCAGCCTCGAATGACAGGAAGTCGTCTCCTGCGGCAGAATTCCAGAAGCTCCTGTACCTCAAGGGGCGCCACGTTGGCGTTGTACCCCAGAAAGTAGTCTGCAGCCAAGACCACCTCCATCTCTCTGCCATCAACTTTGAAGGTAGTCTGGACCGCTACCAGATCCTGTGTAAGAAACTCTGTAATGCAGAAATAATTAATATTATTTTTCAGCGCTACACACGCTCTGGGCCTCTCGCAGGAGAGGTCCCAAATTACCTTATTGTTATTGTGGTTGAGGCCCCTCACCTGGCCCCTGTAGGTCCACGGTTCCTGTATTAGCAGTATACCAAGGTCCTCCGTGGCATACCTGCTCGCAATGACCGCCGAGGCGGCCACCGCGTGATGCAGATTGACATGGGCTACCTTTACTACTAGTGTCTTCATAATTGGGGCTCGTCGTCGATATCCGAGAGCCGCGCGTCAACCTCGCTTCCTCTATCGAGTTCGAGCCTGCCAATGTCCGCTAGGAGCTCCTGTGTGGTGCGCACGTAGTCGAGGGCCTTTGGCCCGGGACTCACCGGAGCTGGTGCCTGTACCGGTTCTGTTACCTGGTTGGGTGGTACCTGTGCCTGTTCTCTCAGCGGGTTGGCTAGTGGGGCCGTGGTCGACTCTGTCGCTGGGGCCGCAGCGGAGTCAGTTGGCGCGTCAACACACATGTCTTGCGACTCTGACTCCTTGCTACCTATCATATTTTGCCGCCACGGCCTTACCGAGACGTTGCTGTACCGGAAATGTATGTGGAATCCGGCCCTCTTAATGCTGACGTACTACGCCTCGTCGATGCCCAGGTTGAGCCTGAGACCGTTGTCCTCAGCGTCGCACGACACCACTTTCCACGCAGCCGTGTGGACACCCTCGTTCTGGGCCTGAATGAGAGCCAGCACATACGCAGCCGATTTCTCGCCGCATCTGGGGAAGAACACCGAGATAGTGTGCACCGGCGGGATGTCCTCCCCCCTTTTCGTTCATAGCTCGGGTCCCTTCCACCCCTCAATAGCCGGAGCCTTTTCTTCCAGCCAGGCTGCAGTCCTCTCATCCTTGCAGTCCACAAGGAGCATGCCTGACCTGAAGAACACCCCACAGAACACCAGAGGGTGCCTCCACCCTTTTAGGACCTCGTCCATGATCACATCCTGGAGTCTTGTTAGGTCCTCAGGGCATAGGTCAGCTGCAGAGTAATCACAGGGCAGTACAACCACCCGGATGCCTTTAAGAGCATCAGAATAGCTGGGCTGCTGAGCGGTTCCTTCCTGAGGCTGACCTTGGCCCGCAGACCCGTCCAGGCCCCTAGACTCTGTCTGAGGGGTTTTAGGCCCCGCTGCCGCTTGGTGGACGGTGGCTCCGGTGGTGTAACCTGGAAGCTAGTTCGCCTTGCTGTACCTGTGGAAGTTGCTGTTGAGTTACCTTTGGGTTCCCCGCCTCTCCGCCAATGGGCGGGCGCGGGTCTCTGCTGCTGTTGCCCGCCTCTCTGGTTTTCAGCAGGCGCGGGTCTCTGTTGCTGTTGCCCGCCTCTCTGCTTTTCAGTAGGCGCGGGTTTATGTTGCTGTTGCCCGCCTCATACTCATAGAAGAGTCCGAGCCATTCTGTGTAATGAGTATTTATAATAAGCTAATTCCTTTGTATTAACTGTAATTAATTTTTTTTTTTTAGAATATGCAGCGTGCTACTTTTCTGCTATATTAATTAAAATACTGCATCGTAGGTACATTTATTGCTTGCTTTAATTTATAAAAGGAAACTAATGCCGATTTCGTTTCTACCGAAAAATGCAACATTCTCCTTGCCCTCTACGCACAAACACTAAGAAGAGGGCGATTAGAAGGCAACATTTTTTGTAGAAACGAAATCGCCATAAGTTACCTCAAATTTTTAAACAAATTCGTTCTGAGGATACCATTAAAAATGGGGTAATTTTTAAAAAAGCTTGGGGAATCGGCTTTGTTAGAATTGACATCCTTGGTAAGTACTCATGCATACTTGTCCTCGTATTCCGGTTACACACACAGAAGCAACTCGCTCAAATTTTTACCTTTCGCCGGGCTTTTGCATCCCCCTTCATCTAGCCCCTGTAGCCCAGAGAAGTGCACGCTGCCAGCAGTGTTGCTGTTGAGAATTTTCAGAAAGTCGCATAAAAAGGGGCCATTGACGAAAAAAAGGGCCACCATATTATTTTGCTTTTCTTTACTAGTAACAGAATAAATCTGCTGAATTTGAAAAGAAAATAGTGGGACAAGCTTTGCTCCAAAAAGGGTTGCAAACATACACATAAATCTAGTTGCTGCAAGGAGAAGAGTTATATTTCCTTTAGAAGTTTTAAGTGATGCATTTTTTCGTACTTACAGAGGGAAATATTTTTTCATAGCATGGTTCTGTTAAAATTTCCTAAAAAACTCTGAAAAGAGGCAAAAGTCGCACATAATTTTGGAAAAGGGTCAAAAAGTCCAAATTTTCAAAAAGTCGGATCAAAGGGTATTAGCGCTTAAAAAGGGTCAAATTGTCCTTTTAGTCGCACAACGGCAACACTGGCTGCCAGCACAGCGCAAATGTGCTGAGTTTACCCATCTCTAACATAAATTTAGTACTTTTTTCTTAAAAATAGTAAGTTTTCAGCCGCCAAGTTATTTTGAAAAAGAACACATAATTTTTGATGTTTCAAAGTAGCCTCCGTTTTATGTTTACTAATTTTTGTTCGCAGTTGTGGTTCCGTTAACACGTTATGTCCCAAGTCGGATTAATTCCCGGTCCCCAGAAAAAGAAGTGGATATTAATTACCAAAAAATTTTATATTACGGTGACCAAAATATGGTTTAATGGTTTAATATAATAATTTTTCGCAAGTATCAGTGTTAGTGACAAATAAATATCTTTCGTCCTCATACTAATAACGTTACGTCTCTTCCTTAAACTTGTATTGAAATAATATTGAGGTGACCTTATGATTTCGTCTCGCACGATATATTACGCTGGTCCCCTTTGTTTTGTTCCATGTAGGAGTCGCTAGCAGGGTTTGAAAAAATTTGAATGAAAAACAAAAATCGCGAAAATTTAACCAAAGTTTTAATTGAAATCTGATAAATTTGACATATTGTTGACCATATAAATTCAGTCGAATTTTCGCGATCAAAAAATTAAATTTTTCCAAACCCTAGTAGCGACCCGTAAAACAAGTTCTAAATTTTTCTTAAACAATTTTACAGAATGACACGATGAGGCTTATGTATATGTACCAAACTCACGACCCACCTAATGGATCTCTCCAACCTGGGACATTGCCTGACCCAGAAGCTGCTTTCCGCTCATTTCACCCCATGGTACTTACTCAAAAGGCTCAATCGCATTTTCGAAAGGACGATCAAATGCGGCAAATAGAGCTTCGAAACGAGGATGTTGAGCTACCGAGCGGAGATAGCACATTATCTTGGTGCAAAATGTTTAAATTGGAGGACGTCACTCGCAAAAATCATCTAATTCGAGTAAGTTTACTCCCACTCCCTCCACATATGTACATTAGACTGCATCACCAAAAAAATTGCAGTTTTTCCGCCGGGATTACAAAATTTCTTATATTTTAAGACGCCTACCAAAATATTTCGGAAAAATTTTACGATTTAAGTGAGCTGGACCGATTTGAAAACACCTCCAAAAATTGAGTTTTTTATGAATAAATATAGTTTCTTAATGAACTTTTTGAAAAAAGTCACCTCAGATGATAAAGCAGATTAAGCCTAAAAAATATTCATAAAAATATTTAAAAATCTTTTTAAAGGTATCGTAATAATGAGATTTTTGATGCTTTGAGTAATAATTTTTTTTTACTTTTTTCAAAGATTGATTTACGAAAATCTTGAATAACTGAGCCAAAACTATTCTGATTTAAACTTATGGGATCTCAGTAGAAAGGTATTTTCCCACTGTTTTCATTTCTGTCAAAAAAAAGTCATTCGTTTCCCAATTTTTATATTTTTTTCAAATACCAACACATCTTAATTCTACTTTGAATGACGTTCGTTCATCCTATCTTCCTCTTTCATCGTTTGAAAGCAAAGAAATAAAAAGGGTGAGAAAATACCTTTCCAATGACACCTCAGTTATTCAAGTTTTTCTTGTACCAATCTCTGAAAAAAGTTAAAAAAACAGCATCGCAAATTTGATTACAATTCCGTTAAAAATTTTTAAAAATTTTTTAAAATATTTTTATGCAAATTTTTAAAGCTTAAACCGTTTTGTCATTTGAGGGAATTTTTTAAAAAGAAATCTTTAAGAAACTATTTTTATTTATAAAAAACTCAATTTTTGGAGGTATATTCAAATCGGCCAAGCTCACGTAAATCTTAATATTTTACCGAAATATTTTGGTGGGCGTCTTAATATATAATAGATTTTATAATTTCAATAGAAACACAGTACCGATATTTTTTTGTATGGGGAGTGATGCAGTCTAATATAGGCATATCTCTAGAGCTCATCTAAAAACGGCCTCAAGGTCAATAAAAATTGTTTAATATTATTTATTAGCCCAAAAATAACAAAAAACCAAAATATTAAGGACGAGCACGCCTTAAAGTTAAAATTCCAAATATACGAGTTAACTAAAGAAAACAAAAACAACAACCACAATAACAACATCATCAAGTCTAAATAGCAGCAGAATAGGGATGGAAAGAATAATCTAATGAATAGCGTTAATCGAGTAATTTTTCCAGAAAGCGATTAAGTCGAATTGAGTTTTTTGCTCTGTTTAATCGAATCATTAATCGATAAATCACGAAAATAATTGAAATTGAAACAAGTACCAAAATTGCAACTTAGCTTGTGAGTAAAACAACCCTGCTATTTCTTAAAGTCACATCACTGATGTCGATGAAGATACACATCACTAGCTTTGATAGATTCGGAAAGGAACCTTTGGAAAATGATTATTTCCTCAAGACGAGCTAAGTTTTTATCGGAATTGCCAAGTTTTAGACTGGAAACGAAACACTGTTGAAGCATGGGAAGAAATGAAGGCTGCGTGTTTAAAATTTCACCTGCTTTCCCACAAATATTCGCACCTTATTGGTACATCAGTACCCTTTTTTTAAAGCCGGGCCCATAGCTTCGGAAAGCCGAAGCAGATTGACAATCAAAATGCTGCCAAAATTACTTTTTTACAAACTTATTTACGTCAAACTTGTAATTAAATTCTTTTTTATACGATTATAATCAATAAACAAATTTGAAAACTAGTTGTTGCATTATTTTAATATTAAAACCAAAAATAATCGGAAAAACGATTAATCGATTAATAGCTTTTAATTAATTGCCATTAATTTTTCGGCCTTCCAATTAATCATTTGATACATTAATGGAGTAATAATTTTGTTTGCCATCCCTACAACAGAATAGTTGCCTGTGAGGGTTGATATATGAAAAAGTGAAGAAAGCAAGAACAGTTCATAAGGCGAACTTAGTGCAGTGGGTATACCACTGGTTTTACAACCTGGAGCCGCTGGTTCGAATCCCAGTGAACTCAATGAACACGCCCGATGAGGAGATGTGGTTATCTCCGAAAGAGCATTGTAAATTATTGTCGTTTTTTTCCACATTATTTTTTCATAAGAAGCGGCCTCAAGCTGAATAAAACTTTTTTACATGATCTAAGGCAAAAAAAAAAAAACGAGTTCTTATTTTCCGCCTAAAAATCATGGTAAATTGATATTTACATTTACATTTTGAGTGAATAAGCTTCAGTATTTACTAAAATATCGCAGCTTTCGTATTTCTGAAAATTTTGCCCATTTGCAATGCAATCCGTCCTTGGCGGCAAAAAAGATAAACGTACATACCAAGTTTCCTTAAGATATCCAATTTTTTCACTCGAGTTATCGTGTGCGCGTACCGACGGACGGACAGACAGTCACGGCTTAATCGACTTCCTTTTTATTCTGAGCACTTATGTATACATCACTACATATTATAAAACAAAGTCACTTTTTCTGTCCCTATGTCCCCTTAAATGCTTAAATCTTGAAAACTAAGCAACGGGTTTTGATGCGGTTTTTTTTAATAGATAGATTGGTTGAAGAGGAAGGTTTATGTCATTATAATGTGAAGAAATATATAAAGGGGGCGTGGCAATCGGACAAAATGTGGTAAATTTTTTGTTTACACAGCCATAAATCATAAAAGAATCCACCGATTAAAATGAAACTTACTTGAAGTTAAACTTTGAAATATTTACTTTCGTTCTGCATCAAAAAAAAATAGTTGATTCGTATCTTATTTAACCAAAATTGTTTAAACAAAAGAAGCACTTTTTCCAAAAAAGCTGTTTGTGTGTTTGTTCGCTGTCAACAGAATGAAACATTAGAAGTTATGCGGGAATCTCACCCCACCTCATTCATGTTGAATTAGATCGTATGGTGAAAGAACTCGGTACGTATGTATGTAAGTACATATGTACGAATCTCTCGCATAATTAAATTTCGGACGTATGTATGTATGTATGTATGTATTTTCAATTCATGTCTTTATTGCCGTACTGAATTCCATTGCATTGAGGGTTTTTATACAGAAAACCCAAATTTGAAAAATTTTTAGTTGTGAGTGTTTTTCAGCGAAATAAACCGCTCTGTTCACGTTCTATATTAATAAATCGCACATAATTAAAATACAGTGGAAGCACTGGACAAGAAAGCTGTGAACGTTGTATATAAAAACATTCTGTAATATATTAATTGTTGTTGTAAAAATAAAATAAATATGTAAAAATGCAAAAAGTAAATATGTTAAAATGTAGGGTATGAATTTAGATATTCCAAAGATAGCAGGAAATCTTCATGGTATAAAGAAAGGGGAATTGTTTTACTACAAATGTAACGCGTGCGGGCCACGGGCAGTAATGAATAAATCAAAACTACGGGATCGATTTTAATCATTTTTTCAGTGAGTGACATAGGCCTTATATTTTATTTCCGTGCGAAGCCGGGGCGGGTTGCTAGTCTAATATATAAAAATCTCGTGTCACGGTGTTAGTGGTCGAACCCTTCCTAAACGGCTCGACCAATCTTTATGAAATTTTTTGTGGATATATTATAGGTATGAGAATCGGATGTAAAGTATACTTCATACCGCTAGGTGCAGGGGGCGTGGCACCTCCCATACAAACCGAATTTGTCATATTGCATATCTCTGGAAGTGTTCATGGTAGAGTACTCGAACATGGTATGGAGATATATGAAAACAGTCGCATACTCATGGAGAAAAATTGTGGTTATTGGAAAAGGGGGCGTGGCACCTCCCATACAAACTGAATTTTTCATACTGCATATCTCTGGAAGTGTTAATGGTAGAGTACTCGAACATGGTATGGACATATACGAAAACAATAGCATACCCATGGAGAAAAATTGCAGTTATTGGAAAAGGGGGCGTGGCACCTTCCATACAAATCGAATTTCCCATACTGCATACATATGTATCTCTGGAAATGTTCATGGTAGAGTATTGGAACTTGGTATGGAGATATATGAAATCAATCACATGGTCATTAAGAAAAATGGGGCTATTAGAAAAAGGGGCGTGGCAGCTCACATACAAAATGAATTTTTCATACCGCATATCCCGGAAAATATTCATGGAAGAGGGCCCCAACATGGTATGGAGATATATGAAAGCAATCGCATACTCATGGAGAAAAATTGTGGTTATCGGAAAAGGAGTCGCGGCATCTCTCATACAAATCGAATTTTTCATTCTGCATATATCTGGAAGTGTTCATGGTAGAGAACTGGAACTTGTTATGTACAAGATATATAAAATCAATCGCATAGTCACGAAGAAAAATTGGGGCTATTGGAAAAAAGGGGCTTGGCACTTCCCATACAAACCGAATTTTCATACTGCATGTCTCCGGGAATGTTCGTGGTAGAGTACTCGAACATGGAATAGAGATATATGAAATTAATCGCATAATCATGTAGAAAAATTGGAGCAATTGGAAAAAGGGGCGTGGAACCTTCCATAAAAACCGAATTTTTCATACTGCATATCTCCGGAAGTGTTCACGGTAGAGTACTCGAACATGGTACGGAGATATATGAAATCAATCCAATACTCTTAGAGAAAATTGGGCTTTTTGAAAAGGTGGCGTGACACCTTTCAAACGCACTGAAACTATTACGTAGCTTTGTATGCATATGGGGTGCTCCATACCAAAACGGACGAGGTTCACACTTCATTTGTTTGATTTGTTTTAAATTTTTTGGGTTGATGTATAAACATAAATAATAAATAAATATAAAATCTGAGCTTGATTAATACATTTTTAAAAACTTTACAGCACAAAAACAAAAACAAATCGATTTAATAGTTTTCCAAATATCTCGTGAACGGGCGAGAAAAAAATTAAAAAAAATCACACATACACACAACAAAATTCTCTATGAAAAGAAACATTTAAAAAATTGTTTTCTTGAAAAATTTATCATTTACG